ACTCTTATACTTACAACTTGTATAGAGAGAAAAGGCCATGATCCACTTGTTGTTTTTCCCTATAGTAAATGAAGGTATGTGATTTAGGAGTCATGTTATTTAGACATGCAAATATCCGATATCGTATAAAAGCCACATAATAATTCGTCATTTTTCATTGCGTGAAAATCATATGCAACTTGCAAATTATTTCCTTCATGGTTGGCATTCAAGATTAAAGTTTCACCTAGAATTCTAAGAGAGTGGCTCAAATTCGAAACTTACCCAGTTCACAAGACGACCTTGTTCTTCAGAATAAGGTAGTTTCCCGTAAATGATTTCCAGCAACAATATTCCAAAGTTATAGACATCAGTTTTAGGACCTTGTTGGGGTGGCAACTTGGATTTCTTAGATTTGTCTCCAGTTGTCCTGGTAGGAAATATATTAGTGCAAAAACTCGGATATCATATAAAAAGATAAAAGGGAACGAAAGAGAATAGAAATGTGTATTTACCTTAGCAGCAAAGTCATATGTTAACAATATTGAAACTGAGATAAGATTGGAATGAGAGACTGGTGGGTTCAGATCATGATGCATGTAATGAAGACAATAAGTCGTGTCTAGAATAACCCTCATTCTTGCACTCCAATCAAGATGTTCAACGTCCTTAACTGAAAAACAAAGTGACCAGTAATATGACAGTAATATGATACTAATTAATAACTTTTTTGATAGTAAACTGAGAATAGTAATACATATACAGTTTACAACACCTACGACAATTTATTTTACTCTTAGTAAGACATATACAACTTTGGAATTTTATTTGTAATGTAACATCCACCTTGATTAAAATAGTTGGACCACAAGCCATTCCAAGAGCACTTTCACTAAAAAAACCTGTTAATGCTTGCATCTGAAGTTTCACTGGCATACACTCACTGATATAACGCCTATTCACAACCCTTGCTGGACCTAGCCCGCAGAAAAGTCGTCCCATAAAAATAACTACTACGGAGTTAAGATCATAGGCTAATGCATACATGATGTTTCTGATTAGAAGAACAATGGTACTGAATATAAGAGGTTTTAGATACGATCGGTTTGACGACGCACTGAAATAAACAGAAGCAATAAGAAAGAATGATTAACAAAAGTACATAGGAATATTAAGCTTTATGAACATAGAACATACAATCATTAATCTAGATAAAGCTTCCTTGTCTCGAAATTGTTTATAAGCATTTTGGGCAGATTTGACAAATAGCTCTGCTTCATCTAGTCTATACGAAAGGAAAAAGAAAATATAAATTCTCATATTTGTCTGCTCTGGAATGTAAGTCAAATATGTAAATAATAATTTCATATCTATAATAATTATTTGAGATCTATAACAATTAGTTCAAAATACCTTCGTTGGACTTTGCGTCGGACTTTGTGCTGGTTGTATTCAAATGGAGAAGTGAGAAAATGTTGGGATTAGAGGGATAAAAATAGACTGTGCTATCATTTGAATAGAGAATGCTAACTTGTGCAAAGTAGAACCAAATTTTCACTATCATTAAGTCAGTTACACATATCTAGTCAGAAACAAAAAATCAGGGTTGGTATACAAACAACAAATTCATGTAAAATATCAAGAAGTAATGCTGAAAATTTAGACCGCACCAGCAAAAAGGCATGAATATATAGACTTTGCCAAAGCATCTCTTGCATCAATTGCCTATAAACAAAATATAATATGTTAGATATTGACAAATATTATATCCATCATTTTTCTTTCATTTGGTATTTTACAAAGTGACTGAGGTAGCCATTACAACACGATATCATGACTTAGAATATAGAATCTAGAATATATAAAGATATAAACCTCACTTCCCCAACCCAAATAAAATGTTAAGCTGTTCAATATTCAAACTCTTAGAGGTAGCCTGAATAATTTTTTTGTAAGTATAGTCAGTTATTTCAAAATTATTCAAAGTATTGAAGCTCATTTATACATAACTTCAGAACAAAATCACATAAACCACAAATTAGTACAAATGCAAAGAAGTCGTTGTAATGATACTGAGACCCTTAACATAGTATTTTACATATACCCAATGGGGATGGGCTTATTCATACAAGACTAATACACCAATGATTATTCACATTTAAATGTTGCATCCAAAGAAGAAAAAGAACACATGACAATGTTCATTACCTGCTAAACTTTATGGCGTATCGAAAAATCAAAACCACTGGCTACCTATTCTTCCTTGAGTAGCAGATAATTACCTTGATATGTATCGAGGCTTTGGTTGAATCCCATTTGAACCTTAAATCCCATCATCTTCTATCCTCTCACTTTTATAGTTTAAATTTCTCTGCGGATAGCTTGAAGTAGCATACTGAGCCAAAACAGATGCATTACTAACAAATCAAAACAAACAAACATATGGTTAAGGGAAAGATGAAATAATGGTACATGATTGAGCAGTTTGTATATAAACCTTTAGGTACACCTTCACCAGAGGCACAAGTATTTCTCGATAATCATTGGAAGAAACATGTCCAAGCTTGAGTTCCAATTGCTACACCTCTGAAACACATCTTATTATTTCAGTGTCAGCTTTGCTAATCTGCATGGTAAACACATTAGGTTAGATTATCAAAGAAAATATCCATCCTCGCAATTAACTTAGTATACACGAGACAAAAACCATCACACTAACCTCCATAGAGTAAAAGGTAACTCAACTGCTCAAAGAAAATGACATTACTTAAATAATCCCCCATTTTAATGAAACCGCTTAAGCTGGACAACATAGATACCTTTCATATTCAGATTTTTCAGTTGTCAGTGTTGGTGGTGGCGGTAGCTACACCTATTGATTAACATTGTTGAGAGGATCCAATATAAAAAGTATCTACTCCTCTTTGTATCAAGTTTTAAGAATTCCTCATAAAGCAACTTTCATAAAGTTAGTCAAATTAACAATTATTATAAACACAGGTTTTAAAATATCCCGGGAACACACAGGATATGAGCTACTTATAGTTAATCATGGATCATTCAAGTAAGCTTCACAAAATGGTATGTCACATCCTAAGCCTACAAGAAAAGGAAAACAAGAATTTCATGACATTTTTAATTTATAGCTTCAGTGTAAAAAATGGAAAATAGGAAGAAAAAATATGATTTCATCAACATGAATATCACGATTTCACACATATAATTTGTAGTTTAAAAGGATAGATAAACTAGGCATTCTGGAAAACGCTGTCCAACAATGTTTGAACTAATCTGCTATACTAAAAATCTCCAAGAGAAACAACGTAGAATCTCAAAATCGATACATGATTTGTTTGAACTAATCATTTACAGCAACAATGTCCAAACCTTCATCCTAAAACATTCAAATAGTTGGTATATAACTCAGAAAAAGGGTTGTAAAGAGAATAGAACTCAACGGTAAAACTCAATCCAATCTATATCCTGAAAAACAAACCACAAAATCATAAAATTAACCACAAAAACCCTAATTTCAAAATCAAAACCCTAACTACAAAATAAAAACCCATAAAAAAGGTTGTAAGTGGATTAGGTTAGGGTTTCCCTTACCCAAGAAGATCGAAATTGATTTATGAATTGATCTCTGGATTTCTTGCATGACGGGTCTGGTTCAATGCAAAGAAAACACTGAAGAAAGGAAGACGAGATAGGAAAGATACAGGTATAAGAAAGAAAGTGTATGAACTAGAGGGGGATAAAAAACAAAGAAGTTTGTGTATGTTGTAGATAGATGTGCAAGGATTAGGACATAGTGTTTGACAGAAAGCTGTTTTTGAGGAAGTTGTTTCTTCGGAAGAGGAAAGTTGTACAAAGGGGTTTGCTTTGCAAAATGAACCAAATATTATGCAAACAAAAGCAAACTTTTTCATTCACATAGGACAATAAGATACCTTTTATCACACATCAATATAATTAAACCCAAAACAAGTATTTCTTATTGGACCATGTCATAAATTAGTCACAAAAAGTATTATTTGGATAGTAATTAGCCTTGGTTTCAATAGGTGTTAATTTTTAAGCAAAGGGCAATTAGGAGTTAACCAGGGGTATTAGTTTTCTTATATTATATATATGTTATTTAATAATACCTAAGCAAATAAGTATTGACATTACTGATATAACTAGTGGGAAAAAGATGAAACGGTGCCTCTCTCTCTCTCTCTCTCTCTCTCTCTCTCTCTCTCTCTCTCTCTCTCTCTCTCTCTCTCTCTCTCTCTCTCTCTCTCTCTCTCTCTCTCTCTCTCTCTGACCTAACCCCCCCACCCATTTTATTCTTCTCCATTGTTATGGATTCCTTCCATCCACATGATATTTTCCCAGAAAGCTTCGTCGTACCGGTACCACCCAAACCCCGACCCTCCTATCCCCCCCCCCCCCCCCAACAGTAAAAGTCAGAACCTTTACTGACACTGATAAGAGGTACAATTAGATATTTTAATTAGTAATATAATGTTATTTGTTATTTTATTTTAAATGTTTTGTTGAATTGGGTTTTTAGTAGTGTTTGGGTCTTTAAGTTTATTACCATTAGAAGTACTATATATTGTAGTCTCATTGAGACATTAGGTATCAAGAATAAAATGAAAAAGTATTTTATCTTCTTTTATTGTATTTAGTCAATTTAATGTTAATCCCCTTTTAGTGTAGAAATCCTAGTTCATAGCTTTTATAGGAAAACTTCCTATCAATTGGTGCTTTCACTCATATACTCTAATCCTCATATGGATTATCCTTATCATACACATTCATATCATTCATAGAGCATTCCTCCTACCTATCCTACAAACCCCTCTTTTACATCTCCAATCAATACCTCATTTCCATTTTTCCATGAAAATTTGTTTCACCTTACTCCACAAATCAACATGTTACAATCCCATATTTTTATTTTAATCATGGGTATACACCACCTCCACCTAACCCATATTCATCCTCTTCATCATATCATTATTCATGCTACTACAATAATTATCATCAACCACTACAACCAACAAAAACCTCCTCCATAATTAAAAGAGATTTTAAGAAGCATTTGCAAGTGCCCCATCTCTCTTTTAAGAAAAGGTCTCAAAAAAAGTCTCAAAACCCTTTTCAATTCACAATCAAAAAAGACCTTTGTATCTATTTTCCTTTCCTCTACAAACCAAAACCCTTAAATCCTCTTTTTCATTCAAGCTAAGAAAAATCACATCCATGGCAACTACTTCTCCCAAACCTTGACTACCTCTGCTCTTCCAAACAACTATGGGAGATTTCCTCATTAGCCTCCACAACAACCCTCTGAGAGAAACTTCGTCAACCATCCCAATAACATCAATGACACCACCGTTTCAAAACCATCTCATCTGTTTACAGTTTCCCCGATAACCCTCTGGAAAACCGCAAATAAAGCTCGTGGAGGAGCTATTCTGCTTTCAATCTTCGGCGAGGAAGAAGATGATGAATCGAAACCTGTTTTTGATTCCAATTCCAATGATTTTTTCTCTAATGGTGGTGGCAGTGTTGTGAAAAAGGGATCTGATTCTAATGATTTTGTTGACGAAACGAAGAAAGTTGGTGTCGTTGAACAGGAAGGAGAGATTCTTCATAACGGTTCAAGATCTGATGTGAATAACATTCAGGTTATTGATACTGTTGCAGGGGTTGGTAAAGATAGCGGATTTGGTAGTATTCAAAACGATCAAATGAAAGCTTTGGTGACTTATGGCTCTGTATATCATCCGAAATTTACTGTATTAAATATTAGCGATTTAGAGGAGAATGTAGTATTAAATGTGGGAGATGAGCCTGATTCCATTTAGAAGCACGATAGTCCTTCTAAGAAATAATTAGAAAAGGAAAGCAAGAAATATAAGAAAAGACAAGAACATGTGATCCTGGTCTTCTAACCACAACTGACAAGGTGGATTTTTGTCAACTTGAGGATTCTGAAGGAGTCCTTGATGATGATCCGAGTGAGCCAACAATGGGAAAGAAACTTGCTAGTCTCAATTTGGTTGATGAAAGCAAATCCAAGAGTGACAATAAGCAAGAATATTTGGTCTCATTGAAGCCTCCAAGTGCAGACAGTATAGATATTTTGCTTAAGCAATCATTAAATGCTAATGATTGCTCCCTTCTGCTGGATTACTTGTATACACAAGATGAGAAGGTTATTTTTAAGTCAGTTGCATAGTTGAATCCATCCAATGTCCTTAAACTTCTTAATTCTCTTATAACCATTATTGAGTCTAGGGGTGCAATTTTAGCGTGTTCTCTTCCATGGATGAAGTGTCTACTTCTACAACATGCAAGTAGAATAATGTACCAAGAGTCTTCATTAAAAGTTTTAAACTCTTTATTTCAACTGATTGAATCTAGAGTCTCCTCTTTTAATTTTGTATTCCAACTCTCAAGTTTATTAGATGTCCTTTATGTTGGGGTTCGTGACAAGGAGGTAGATGAGGTTGAAACTGTGCCAATTATCTACATGGGAACAGATGATAGTGAAGATGAAGATAAAGCAAAGGAGATTGTAGAAGCTGCAAAAGCTTCCACGGGAAAAGAACAATTTCATTTGGGTGGAGTTGATTTTGTTAAGACAATCATTGCAAGAATAGTTTGTGAACCTGTGCTCCCCATGTCCCGAAATTTTCATGAAATGGATACACAGTACATAACTCGTCTGAAAGAGGGTATTCGAGAATTCATGCTCAATTCAGATAACTCTGGATAAATACTTGATTTTCAAAAAGTTTTGCTAAACATGTATGATATATACTTGGATGTTCTAATGAAGTGTCACCAAGTGCAACTGGAAATTTTGGTTGCTTTAAAAACTGGTTTAACCCATTATTTTCACCTCGATGATAACATTTCATCTTCTGGTTTAGCTCAAGTGTTTCTAAGCTCAAAGTTTAGGAATGTTACATGTCGAAGTTAATAGCTTGTCGATGAATGTGATTGAAATGACAACAAAACTATTGGTTGGACTTTGTTTGTTTTGATTGTTTCGTGTAAGCAATGGGATTCGAGAGTAATTTTAGAAAAGATCTAGTCTCAGCGACTGATCATTATTTTATCTCCAACCATGTCGGATTGGGTTAAGAGGTTGTCAGGAAAACATTTGAACAATCTGTTAACTATTGATTTGGTCGTTGATAGAGAAGAAAAGCTTGTTGAGGGGGTCAAACTTTATGTTATATCAGCCACTGCATCATCAAAGAGGAGAATTATTTATGTCCTATAAATGCCTATGGAAAGGGCAGGAAGACTATTGTTTTCACACGGACAAAAAGGGATGTTGATGAAATAGCACTGTCATTATCTAATAGTATAGCTTCTAAAGCATTGCATGGTGATACCTCTCAGTATCAAAGCGAGAAAACATTGAATGGTTTTCGGCAAGGGAGATTCATAATGCTTGTTGCTACTGACGTTGCTTATCGTGGACTAGATATTCCCAATGTTGATCGGATTATACGTTATGAACTTCCCGATGATCCTGAGACTTTTGTTCACCGCTCTGGTCGTACTGAACATGCTGGAAAAGAGGGTGTTACTGTAGTAATAATGTACACCGCTACCTAGAAAAGAATTGTTATGTCATTTGAGCGTGACATAGGCTCCCAATTTGAATTTATTAGTCCACCACCTATGCAACATTTACCATAATTATCTACCAGGCTAAGCGTTGGTACACTTGGACTTTGTTTGTTATGATTGTTCCGTTTAAGCAATGAGATTTGGGAGTAATTTTAGAACCTTGAGGACAAGGTTTAATGTGAACCGGGCGACAATGATAGGAGGTGCAATTAGATATTTTAATTAGTAATATATTGTTAGTTTTTATTTTATTTTGAATGTTTTGTTGAGTTGGGCTTTTAGTAGTGTTTGGACCTTTAAGTTTATTACCATTAGAAGTACTATATATTATAGTCTCATTGAGACATTAGGTATCAAGAATCAAATGAAAAATTATTTTATCTTTCTTTATTTTATTTAGTCAATTTAATGTTTATCCCCTTTTAGTGTAGAAACCCTAGTTCATAGCTTTGATAGAAAAGCTTCCTATCAATCACTGTCAAAAATGTTTATGTTATACCTCAAAGCTAACTACCTGCTCCATGTATGAAGGGAGATAAAATCTCAATAACTATCTCTGAGGAAGAATACCAACTTGGGCTCCAGGCGTGCAAACACAACCTTCATGGTAGGATCCTTTGGCCAAAGGGTTCTACACCTCTCATTGTGGCTAGCGTTCGTTCCAAACTGACCCATCAATGGTCCATCATCAACAAGTGGCGTATCACTTCTCTAGACAAAGGGTTCTATGAGTTTTCCTTTTCTTTCCTTGAAGATGTTCAGAGAGTTAGGTCCATTAACTATTGGAATCTAAACCCACGTATTCTCAAACTTTTCCCTTGGTCTAAAGATTTCATTTCGTCCAATGTGAACCAAACCTCTGTGCAAGTTATGGTGAGACTAAACGGTCTATCTCAAGAGTATTGAAGGGAGAAGATAATTTTTGCTATATCTATCAGCCTTGGGACCCCTGTATGCATTGACTCAACTTCAAGCAAACCAGCTTTTGACCGTACCTTTGGGCACTTTGTGCATGTTCTGGTGGACATTGATCTTGTTAAAGAGCTTACTTTCAAAATCCTTGTGGAAAGGATGGGTTTTTCCTTCTTTGTGGAGGTTGAGTATGAGAAGCTCCTTGATTTCTATTCTCATTGTAAGGTGATTGGCCATTCTTTCGAGACATGCAGAAAGAGGATAAATGTGAATGCGGTTAAAAGAATTCCTAGAGTGGAGAAACCATCGAAGCATTTTGATAATGAATGTAATAATAAGGACACACAACACAATGAAGAAGATGACCATGGGGTTCAAAACTCTGATCATGTTAGCACATATGAAGCTAACATTGTCCCTCAGACAGTTCATGTTGTTCCTGTCAATGAGCCACAAGACTGTATTGCAACAATTGAGCTCATTACAAGTTCCAGCCAACCAAAACAGATTAAGCATAATCTAAACTATGAAACTAGAGGTCCTATATTGGAACAAATTGAGGATTCTAATTAGATTACGATTTCCTCCACCAGTTGCTCTGAGGAAACTGAACTTGTCAAGGATACTCAAACTCAGTTTGAATCTGAAGGTTTTTTGAAACAATCATGGGAAAACCTAGATGACACAAAGGATGGTGAGTACATCAGTGAATCTGAAGAAAATGCCAACTACGAACCCCCAGATTTCCAATTTTCAATTTCTAAGGCTCAGAAGAAGAAAGCTATTCAAAAATCCAAATCAAGAAGCAAATCTACAACCTCCAAAATGGCTGATTTTAAGCCTTTACAATGAAGTGGATATTCTAGAATTTAAGGGGTTTGGCAAATGCCCCTACGAGATTGGCTCTGAAAAATATCATAAATACCCATAAACCTTAATTTTGTTTTAGTGTTGAACTCTGGATGAATCAACTTAATCTCCCCTTCAATTTTTTGAATTCCCTTGGCCTTAAATTTTTTCTACTAATCTTCGTCCTAATCTCCTTCCTAATATGTGATGCTTGTGTAACAACAACTGGGATCCTATGGTGATATTAGTTTCAGATCAACATGTATCCTTCACACTTTCAGTTAATGACATTGTTTTTGGTTTGTCTGCTGTTTGTGCCTCCAATTTCCATCTTAATAGAAGGTTTATTTGGTCTCACCTCCCTTCTGTTTTGGCTAATCACATCCTATCGTGGTGCATTAACGAGGATTTTAATGCTATTGCTGGAGCTCATGAGCATAATGGTTTACTTTCACCTAATCATGTGCATATGGAAGACTTTAAATCCTGGTCTGACTTGAACAATCTGGTTGATTACCCGTCTAGTGGCCATTTCTTCACATGGCATAATGGCAGACACGTGAATGGATTTATGGAACAAAGGCTGGACTGTGCCTTTAGCAATCAACTTTGGCTCTCTTTGGCTGAATCCATGAATGTTTCTACCCTCACCAAGCTCAGGTTTGATCACCACCATATCCTGATGGAGACCTTTTTCAACAAACAACATCACACATCCTCTTTCAAATTTCTTAACATGTGGTCCCTCCACGATGGCTATAAGGATTTTATTTATAAGGTTTGGTCTACTTCTATGGTTGGTGGTCCTATGTATATTCTCTCTAAAAAGCTTCAGATTCTTAAGCATAATCTTAGGACTTGGAATCAAGATACTTTCGGTAATATCCACAACATGGTGAAGTATGTTAATGATAACTTGCTTGCTATTCAAAATAACATTGACCAGATTGGTGGAAGCTTCATCCTTTGGGAGCAGGAAATCTTGGCTAAGTATGATTTGGATAAAGCTTTGGCTATTAAGGAAAATTTTGGTTGGAAAAATCTCATCTTAAGTGGTATCTTGAGGGTGACCGGAACATGAATTTTTACCAAAGGGTGACAAAGGTTAAAAACTCCAAAAGCACCATCAATGTTCTGCATAATGGAAATGTCATTTTGCACGAGCCTGGGGATATTGTTAATCATGCAGTAGATTATTTTTCTAACATTTTCTGTTTTGCAGATGATCCTCAATGGCTGGATATTGTGGATATGGTGATTCCTCCGCTGGTAACTTCTGACATGAATGTTTTTTAACCTCCATTCCAAATGTCGTTGAAATCAAGCGTGCAGTTTTCATCATGAACAAATCAGGTTCACCTGGTCCTGACGGTTTTGGTGGTTTTTTCTACCACACGTATTGGGACGTGATCTGCTCTGATATGTGCAAAACGGTGACTCAGTTTTTCCAAAGTTGGTGGATTCTCCGCAATTACAACTCAAATTCCATCATTCTTATTCCTAAAACCAAGGATGCTGACTCTATGAACGACTTTAGGCCCATTTGCCTTGCAAATTTCAAATTCAAAATTATCACAAAGATTATTGTGGACAGATTGGCAACCTTATGCCGATGCTTGTGTCTCATGAGCAGAGCATTTTTATACAAGGTAAAAGTATCAAAGATTGTGTGTGCATTGCTTCCGAAGCCGTCAATCTCTTAAGTAAAAAATATTTTGGTGGGAACATTGCCATCAAAGTTGACATTACCAAGGCTTTGATACCTTATCTTGGAAGTTTCTTCTTAAAGTTCTCAAAACTTTCGGTTTTAATAGTACTTTCTATGAGTGGATTCATAGCATCCTTGCCTCGTCCTTCCTCTCTATTTCCATTAATGGCGCTCACCATGGTTATTTCAACTCTACTAAGGGGGTCAAACAAGGAGACCCCTTCTCTCATCTTCTCTTTTGTCTTTCTCAAGATATCCTTAGTAAGGGAATAACTAAGTTGGTTCAGAATGGTGTTTTAAGTTGGATTAAAGCTTCAACCAGCAGTCACATCCATTCTCACCTCATATATATCGACGACATCCTTCTTTTCTGCAAAGGTAGCACCGAACATTGTTGCCCTCATGGATTTATTCAACAATTATTATGCTGCTTAGGGGCAAAATGTTAATATCACTAAATCCTTCATTTAATTGGGCACTATATCGACCAACAAGCTCTCTCAGATTCTGTCTATGATGGGATTCTCTCAAGGTGATATTCCTTTCACCTATCTTGGAGTCCCGCTCTTTCATGGCAGAGTTAAATCTTGTTACTTACAACTTATTATGGACAAGCATGTTTCTAAAGCTGCTTGGAAAGGCTCCACCCTCTCCATGGCTGG